TGGGTTCCTTATTATATTTCATTAGTTATGTCATATTTATTGTATGTAAATTTCTCTATAAATAAAGGGCCTTTTTGCCTACTGCAACTGCAGATTCCAAGCATAAAATTTTCTAAGTACATTGTCCCTTATATTTTAATGACCTATTTCCCAATATTCTACTAGATCCTGTAATAGAATTATCATTGTTAATTCATCTGTGTTTATAGACAGGTATTGGGATAGTGCTGGGGCACAGTTGTGTACTGATAATGAAAATTCATAATAAAAGTATGAAAACACTATTGTACGCCCCCGCAGTATTGACGACCGAAGCTTTAGAACCATTCACTCGTCCAAATCTAAATGCCTCTTTCAATAGGTTGTCTTGGTGGTTGTTGTTTGGTTTGTTGGTTTGTTTGGTCAAATTTGTGTTTTCTCACGTGATACTACGTACATATATGCGACACTTATTCGAACTTATTCAGATTTATTCAGAGTTTACATTTATATTGATTAAATAAATGAATTTGATTGCATAAAAAGGTCAGGAGAACATTAGTCAGTGCATGTGCACACAAATTAGGTAATTTGTGCAGCACGATCAAATTCTATAATGGATACAATGTTTATCATTTTTCATTATAAAATTTAATTGTTTGTAAATATTTGAATGTTAATTTTATCAGTTTTGATAAATTCTTCTTTAGGCTAATTTTTAATATTAGCATGTTATGTTCACATTAAATTAAACAAAATTAGCATATCTATGTTAATTAAAGATGTTTGTTAGCGTTATTAACAATTCAAGTGTTAAAATTAAAAAAAGTTATTAATTCGCCAAACTAAATATTTATTAATATAAATGCTAAAACAAATGAATGATTAATTTGTGTAAAAGAACCAATTTTCAATTTCAAATTACTAAATATCTGTTGAAATGAGCAGTTGTATTTGAAATGCAAATCTCCTTGTATAATCAATAGAATTGATTTATATCTCTAGTTGTTAAATTTACTTAGTTTCTAAATATATACTAAAGTGTATGAATGCACTATATTTTCGGTTTAAGCAATTCTTCTTATTATTCTTCCTCAGTTTTACAAGCACTTTTATCAATATTATTCTCTACAGCACAAAGTTGGGCTTTAATAATTTCTTCGGGACAGGAAATTTTTCAAAGGTGTAACTTATGAAATGATTGAACTTAGTCAGGGTCAGTTCCAACTATCTAATAATCCACCTTATTATTTATTTAGAAATGATATTCCGACCAATCTTTATGGAACTTCAAATGGTTGTTGGCAAAGATTTCTCAATGACTTCATTTTTGGTGGAATTTGGGTGAGATGCGTACATACCATTTTTATCTGTATAGCAATGCCTAACATTTTCAAATCACTTAATATACTAACTTTTGTTACTTTCTAATAATGGACCTTTTTTGCTTAATTGATTTTGGTCAAAAACCCTGTATAATTCAGAGTTATAAGCCAATATGTAAAAACTCCAAGTTAATATCACCTTCAAAATATACTTTTCAGTCTATTCTGCAGGCTGTAGCAGATAAAAATGGCTTGGTGTCTATTTGGACCGGAAATTACACTGATGACTAAACGAAATACATATTTGATAGCATCAAGTATTGGTCCATTGATGCTCTGTTAAATACACCAAGAACAAACTATATAGCTGTAATTACATTTGATGGTTATATTTTTATATTTATGTGCAAGATAGTTTAGGAATAATTTCAATAACCGATGTAAATATTAGTTGATTTTGCCAAAGGCAAGTAAAATTTGCAAAAAAAATATCTTATAAATTATTAATATTCGACCTAAATAATGCTGACGACTGGTATATTTTTTGATAGGTTTTCATAAAGAATCCCTTGATGATCTAACATAGTCTTTATTCATTAATAAACCAAAAAAATTAATTTGCTCTGAGAAGTCAAGACTAGTCTATTTTAAGGTATATCCCAATTTCACCGACAACCACTATGCGCAAATTTAAGTTTATGATTAACCATAGCTGCCGCAACAAATTTGGACCGGCAGATCCTCAATTTTGATTGGCTAATGGCCGAGGATCTTCGAAATTTTGGCCCACATTACAAAATTGGTTACTAATTTCCGGCTGGAATTAACTTTTTGATTTTTTTATTACAAAAATAGAAATTCTTAAAAAATAAGCCCGCATTATGGTAAAATTGGCTCAGGAACAATTTTCATTTAATGGGCGGCTATGATTTCATTAGTAAAATTATGAGTAATTCCGGCCTAATCTTTTTTTCGTCACTCTTAGCCAATCAAAATCGAGGATCTGCCAGTCCAAATTTTTGCGGTAGCTATGGTTAATAAGTTTATATGCGCTGTGCCTACAGCGCTTATATCACTGATAACCAGATATGTCTGACATGTGTGCCAGCGGACTACACCACCAAATTTAACTACCCCAACTAAAAATGAAGACATTAGAACATGAAATAACATACTGCATATTCATAACTGGGTAACTACCCAAATTTTATATGACATAAGTGGGTAGTTACTCTTGACCTAAGAAATGTCTGCATCTCTAACCCCAACAACTCCAATTTTTCTGCGCAGTCACGTGATATTGAATATTTAGAAAAGCGATGATTAATTTATTCTTTAATAAATTTTTAAATTTTTTTAAAACTTCTAGCGAAGGTTTCTTAATAACTACTTGATCAAATTCAGTAAAAACTTTTTTAACTTAATTCAATACTCTTGAGGAATCAATATAAAAAAGATTTATTGAATTTGGCTTAACGTTATTGAAAAAAATTAAATATAGAAAAAAATATCAGTACAAAATTTTTTATTTTTAAACCTTTAAAAGATATTTCTAATAACTACCTTTACAATACAAAAATTTTTTTTATTTTAATTCTTTAATCTACTGAATTAAAATAAAAATTTTGTTAATTTGAATAGGTGGTCGTTGAGAAATATTCATTAAAATTCAAACCAAAATTTGGCCGCAGCTTTTTTTAACAGATCATAAACTTTGACGAATATTATTTGACATGCAACTAATCAAATTCGATCAAATTTTTTTATCGAATTTGATTAGGTGGGTGTCGAATAATATTTGTTCAAAATTTATGTATTTGTTAAAAAAGCTGTGGACAATTTTGGTTTGAATTTTAACAAACATTTCTCAACAACCACCTGTTCAAATTTAACAAAAAATTTTTTATTTTAATCCTTAAATTCAGGGAATTAAGTTTCATCATATTTTTACGGGTGGTTGTTGCGAGCCTTCGTTTAAAGTATTAAAATAAGAATCTTCAAAAAGAAGGTTATTATAATTTTTTATTTAAACTTTAAGCAAATATTTCTCAACAACTAATTTGGCTGCACTTAGAGAGGTCATACTGTACTTATTTTTATTACTAATTCTAATTTCACTAGTTTTGAATATCTATTACTACCCTGATTTATATTTTTTATAGTAAATCAAAATCTATAAAAGAAATGAAAGCTAGTAAACTGGTATTTATCTTTATTATTAGTTCTAGTTTATTAGCTTTGAATCTCTATTACTGCTCTAATTTATATTTTTTAGCAAAGCAAAACTTACAATAAAAAAAACATAAGTAAAAAAAATAAAAAAATTAAAAAAATTAAAACTAGAAAACTAGTGCTTATCTCTATTACAAGTTTTAGTTTTACTATCTCTAAATCTCTATTACCATCCTGATTCACATTTCTTTTAGTGAAGTAAAACCTACAAAAGATAATAAAGAAAATAACAAAAAAATAAAAAATAATAGAAACTAGACTATCTGATCTCTAAGTTGGTTGTACTCTAATATAGTAATTGTATAAAGGTGTAATTATAAATGAAATACCCAACTAATCAATGAATAAAATAATATACAGTTATGAAATTTACTATTAAAATTTTAAAATCTTTGACAGTACAGTCAACCCTCTCTAAGTGCAACTTCTCTCTAAATGCAATTAAATAGTCTGGTCCCATGTTGGGACTTATAACATAAATGCAAGTTCTTTATTCTCTAAGTGCAAGATTTTTTTTAGCCAGCATGCAAGTTATTTTATTAACCAATTAAATTGACTTATTTAATTAAAGGTTTTTTTCCTAAGTGCAAGGTTTTTTTAGCCAGCATGCAAGTTATTTTATTAACCAATTAAATTGACTTATTTTATTCAAGGTTTTTTTCCTAAGTGCAAGATATTTTTTTAACTTATAAGCTTGCATTTAGAGAGAATTAATTATATATTAATTTAGTTTTCTTTAAGTGCAAGTTCTCTCTAAATGCAAATAAAATTCATTAATAAAACTATTGCAAAAACTTTGATATTTCTATTTCTAATTTAAAAATTTGTTATTTAAAGGGATATTAAATGATTTATTTAGTTCAGTTCAGGTCTGGTCTCATAAAGTTTAAAGAAAAAAAAATGTACTGAACTAAAGTTTATAACTTCAGTTTAATTTTAAAGTTTGAACTTGAGTTTATGAACTTGAAGCATGAACTTGAGACTAACTTTGAAATTCAAACTTTAGTAAACATTATAGCATTATAATATTAGTGTTATAGTATTACGGTGTCACATTATTACAATATCAGATATTGTGGGTATTACGAAATTACGGCATTGCAACATTACGGCAATACAGCAAATAACATTTACGACAATTACATTGGTAAAATGCTGTAACTGCCGTAATTCTGCCACTAACTATAATAAATAATTCATTAGATATTTGAGCAAACTCATTGAAAATTAGAGGAAAATACATCTTAAACAAAATCAACTTCAAAATCCCTTGATAATTTCACAACAGCATTAGATATTAATCCAAATGATACCAAAGTTTAAGAATTCGAGGAAAGGTATATTTTAAATAGGGTTGTGTTACATAAATTACAATTTTACGTTACTTGTAATTTTACGTAAGTTACAGAAAAGCGATTTTCATGTTAACTTTCACACGTCATACATAAAGTACCAGGTTTACAAAATTTTAGCCTGCGTTATTGCATCAATTAATTTGAATGTACGATCCGAAACGTAATTTCTAAATCGCCGAAAATTTGATATCAGAAACTAAATATCATGTGTCAAAATTACAATTACATGAAATTTCAATTTACTGAATCTTACACAGGATTACGCAAAATTACGTAAAATTACTGTAATTTAACAACCCTAATTGTAAATTAAAACAATATGAAAAATCGCTATGCTATTAACTAAATCATTAAAGCTTAAATAAAATAATGCCGAAACGTTAAGATATCGTGGACATACACATTACTTAATATAGATCTTAATGCAAGTTATGACGTTATGACAATTCACTCCATAATCCAAATAAATTGTTGAGACTTGAACCTAACAACATAGAGGCATTAAGTTCAAGAGGACAACCATAAAGATTTAAATAAAATCATAAATATTCGATCTAAACAACCATAAAGATTTAAATAAAATCATCTAAATAATGTCGAGGCATTAATATATCGGGGACATGTATATTTTTTGTAAAGAATCTCTTGATGTTTTAACAAAATCCTTATTTATTGAACCAAGAATTTCATTCACTGAGAACAAGTCTATTTTAAGATGAAGGATTATGATAAATCAATTAAAGATTTAAATGGTTCTTTAGATGTTGAACCAGATAATGAAGTCTGTGTTGGGTATTTTGAAACAGGTGCATGAATATTTATAGTGGGTATTATGTAATTTTCATTCTGATAATAAATTGATAAAAAAACGCCTTGGTATTTACACTAACCGTAAGCATGTAGTGTAATGCTTTAGGTAAAAATGTTCTATATTCAAGAAACCTTTAACCATAATGTAAAAATTATATATAATAACTTTAATAACTTTTAAAGATTTTATAAAGCATAATAAAATATAATAGATGCAAAAAAAACTATAGACGCGCTTTACATTAAAGATATATCCTTTATCATGTTGTAAGATTGTAACTAAATACTTGCATTCCGTTTGGAATCCATGAAGAGTGTTCCATTTAGTGTCAATATGAAAATGTCTTGCATAATACTAAATTAGCGTCTATCGCATGTCAGTTTTCATTCAGTAAAAATAAATTTCAATAAACATTTCAAAAATCTTTGAACATGTTTTTTGCAAAAGAAAAATTTCTCTTTCAGATTCGTAATACAAAAATCTTGATTATCCATCGAAATTCTTTTGGCGTAATGTTAACTCTGGACCGTTTCAATAAATAAAAGTAGCATATTGGTATCTGAATAATTGTATATTTAATTAAAGATGCTGGTGAAATAGTTCACGACTATTGGTGAAATTGGTAATTGGAGAATTTAACTTCACCAGCATTGCTGTATTTAAAATTGCGGTATATTTTGGTCTAATACCCCGATCACTATATCAAGATCACGGGGTATTATTATTACTAATATCGATGTATGAAAAGGAGTTGGCAGAAAAACTATAACCCATAAATTTTATGATTAAATTAAATAACGAGACTTCATTACTCACGACTTTTCCTCCTGAACATTATCTTATAAAAAAACCTTAATTTCTGATTTTTTTTTTAATTAGCTCAAGAAATTCGG